TCTGTTGTGTAGTTTTGTACTGAGTACTAATTGCATTGAGTTAATTTTCTGCATCCCGCAACTTACTCAAGTTATAGACCAGACACCTACCTCTAGTTTTGCTGCGTAGCCTTTGCAAATGTAGAGAGTTCGAGCAATGTTGGGGATGCCCGATGTTCGAGCCAGTGAGCCATGCGAGGTAGTTGTGCGAGGCACTTAAAAACATGCAAGGCAAAACCAAGTCATTAGAAAAAAAAAGTAGACAACTCCTGCCGTTCGTAAAGAATTCTCTATTGACCCACATTGCTTTGTTCTGAAGGATTTTCCCCGGTAATATGATGTGGAGGTTACTTCAAATTTCTCTTAGATGCTGTTGGTTCTGCTTAAGGTGCCATTTCACCGTTATTACTTTCTTTCAGCTAGATGAAGCCGGATGATATTGTGTAAAAAAACATAGTTATCTTGTACATGCAGATTTTTTTCTATATTGGGGGCTGAAATCCCGTTGCCAGTGTAACCTCCTTACAACTGGGTGGCCTCTGTCCTTTTGTGTGCGCAATGATGTGAGGGTTTAGGAGCTTGCTATGCCTTCTTGGAGAGATGGGAAAAACGTGTTGGGTTCTTGTTAGGAAACGTTATAAGTACGAACCTGGTGAGAAATTGTAGTGTTGTAACCTGAAAAACGAGCCTCAGACCTCGAATAAATACAGTTCAGTTCAAATTCATCTACATGGTCCATTGTTAGCCAGATAAAAGCGGATGCTACGTACCAGTTGTGAGTGAAGTTGTGTTGTCTTATGGCAGAAAAACGCGCGAAAGCGACGGCAGCGTGCAGGGCACAGGTCAAGTGCAAAGCGTATCATTTCATCTGTTACTGATGTCCGTGGAGGAAGAGACATTTCTCAAGTGCGGGAACACGAAATCAAGCAGAAACAACAAAAGGAGAGCCTACAGCAGAGACTCAATACTCTTCGACAACTTGATACAGGAATTGTTGCCTTGTGGCCGAAGAAGAAATCGAAGGTGAAATTGAGAAAGGGAGAGAGGGTCTACAGTGAACAAGGACAACTTTCCCCGCAGAAACGAAGGGAAGATGGGACTACATATGCCTTGTTAACTGGTGGTGATGCTAACTGTCCAACCTGTACTTTCTGTGAAGGGAAACACCCATCAAGGGATTGCCAAACAGTACCTGATGTACAAGCCCGTAAGAACCTTTTGAAGAATTATGGGAGATGTTTCGTTTGCCTGGGAAACTATCACATTAGTCGTAACTGTTCAACCGTGTTCAAGTGTCATAACTGCAAGGACAGACACCATGTTAGTATTTGCCCAGCCAACCTGAGTCCTTTGCAACCTACTAACCCTGTAACACCAGTTCCCACACCAGGACCACGACAGAATTGCTTAACGGCTCAGTCAGCGAACAATAGTGTCGTTTTCCATACTGATTCCACTACACCTTTGTTCCTTTAAACAGCTCAAGCCATGGTGTACCATACTCATCAACCAGAGCTTAAGGTAAGGGCTAAAATTATCTTGGACAGTGGAAGTCAGCGCACCTATCTTACAAACAACCTGAAGAACACTCTTCAATTACCTACACTAGAGAAGAAGCAAGTCTCAATAAAAACTTCTCGAAGCACTGTACCTTTGAAAGATTAGAGTTGGTAGAAATTGTGGCCCAAGGAGTAGAGCTTAACGGGGAACCAGACCTTTCACTGTCAGCCTTTACGTTACCTCTGAATTGCCAACCGTTACAAGGTCAACCTGTGGAACAAGCAGTGAAGAATACCCCCGGCCTTTCGGGACTTAAACTTGCTAACTTTTGTACCAAAGGAGAGACTCTTGGTGTTGACATTCTAGTTGGCTCGGATTATTATTGGAAGTTGGTGGCTAGTCACACCATTAAAGGGGCCCAAGGTCCTACAGCTCTCCGCAGTAAACTAGGATGGGTACTCTTAGGGCCTGTTTGCGCAGGGAGAGTAGAAAATCGAAAGAGAAGTAATCCTGTGACAACCCATGTTTTAAAATGTACCATTGATCAAGTGTCTTATGATGGTCTTCAGGGAGAGCTAAAGAAGTTCTGGGACTTAGAGTCTCTTGGTGGGAAGCCGCCAAGTGTCTATGAAGAGTTTGTTGAGAAGTTGTTTTACAAGGGAGACCACTATGAGGTCAGTCTCTCTTGGAAGGCTACACATCCACCACTCCCTGAAAATTATGAGTTGAGTCTTCAAAGATTGCAAGGTTTGCTGAGTCGACTCCGCGAGAAGTCAGGCATCCTGAAGGAGTATGACAGTGGAAGTTGTGAATGAAGAAACGAAGCCTGATGTCATCCATTGCATTCCTCATCACGCTGTTATTAGACGAGACAAGTTGACCACAAGGTTAAGAATTGTATTTGATGCCTCAGCCAAGTCAGATGGAGCGTCATTAAATGATTGTCTTCATGCCGGCTCTTTGCTTACGCAAAGTATCTTTGACATTATGTTGAGTTTCCGAAATCACAGAGTCGCCCTCGTGGGGGAAATTAAAAAGGCATTCTTAATGGCCCATATGAATGAGACTGACAAAGATGTACTCCGTTTCCTGTGGGTCGATGACATTGATAAGGCTGAACCCAAAGTTTTTACACTGAGGTTTACACACGTTGTGTTTGGACTTTCTTTAAGCCCATTCTTACTGAGTGCCACAGTTAAACATCACATTGAGCAGTATGAACAATGTGACCCTGATTTTACAAGAAAGTTTTTTGAAAGTACAGTGAAACCTGTATTAAGCGGACACCGTATTAAGCGGACACCCTCTATTAAGCGGACAGTAGCCGAAGTCCCAAAATTTATATCCCTTATTTACTTTAAATGAAACCTTTGTTAAGCGGACACCTCTATTAAGCGGACGCGGACACCTAAAAAGTACCAGAAATGATAATTTCTATTGTTACCAAACTGTATTAAACGGACACTTGTTATCAAATTCCACCACACAACATGCCAGACTGGAAATGCGAAAATTGCCTGGAATTGCCACCCACAACCTTTTCGATGTTTACGAACTTATTTGATTAGTTTCACAGTACAGTATTGTTCTCTATTTCGTTTTGTTTGTATAGAGCTTGTTTCACTCATCTGATTTCTTCAAATTGGAGTTGCAAACTATATTTATGGTACTATAATCGATTGGTCCACTTTGATAAAGAAACTAATGCAAACGTATATCGTCAAAGTCTCTGGGAGCATTCTTAACATTTCCACTGTTCATTTGAATGGCATTTGACACCTCATATGACGTTATCTATCGAAACCTGTAGTAGGCGGACACCCTGTATTAAGCGGACACTACAGGTTTCGCTTAATACAGGTTTCACTGTATCTATGTTGATGATTTGACATCTGGGGACAGTGACATGGACAGCACCTTTGAGCTCTATGTGAAATCGAAATTGAGGCTCAAGGAAGCAGGTTTCAATTTGCGGAAGTTTATCACCAATTTAGGAGAACTGTGGCCGAGAATTGAGGACAGTGAGAGGCTGGTTTCAGGGGGGAGCTGGAGGGAATGTTGACAAGCAAGTTGTTGAAACACCACTAGTAGACACAAACGTTGTTGAAGAAGAGGATATGACCTATTCAAGAATTGTTCTAGGAAGTGCAGTTGAAGACGTCAGCGGTCAAAGGATTTTAGGAACTCTATGGAACTATTACAATGACAACCTTGTCTTTGATTTTACAAACACTGCCTCCTTAGCAAAGAGAGTGAACCTACAAAGAGAAACGTGATCAGGACAACCTCAAAATGTATGATTCTCTCGGTATGATTCCTCTGATCACAGTGATGACGGTCCAGTTTAAAATCCCGTTTGAAGAGGTTAGCATTAGGTAACATCGGCTTAAGTCAGATTGTTTCTTTCAGTAAAATTACATGAAGAACAACTTAAGTCCAACTTTACTGTGTAATGTAAAATAAAATATAAAAACTCCACTGTGATGCTTTGAACCCAGGTCACTTGCTTTATAGCCTACATTCATATCCACTACACCATCGAGGACTAACTGCCAAATCCAATAATTTTTAAAATATACATGTTCTTATGCCGTACCCAATTACAAAAAAACTTTCGATTGGCAAAAGTCAAGTCACGAATTGGGATTAGTGACGTCTAGTCACGAATTGAGAGATGACACAAGAGAGGTATTGACCGCGAGACATCAAAACCAAAGACCAGCTATTCAAGCCTCATTCTACATTCCAGTCTCGTTCCATTATTAAAATAATGCGTTTTGTAAAATTCATAAGGTGTCCAATCTGACTTCACTCGATGTTATCTAATGCTAACCATTTGAAGAGTTGTGCAAGGACAAGAAAGACTGGGACGAACCATTGGGAGGTTCCTGCAAGTCAGTCTGGCAGAGATTGGTGATGCAACTGCAAGGTGTTAAACCTCTTACTCTCCCGAGATATTATTATGCTGGCACGGAAGGGGAAGTGATTGCGAGTGAACTGCATGGGTTTTGTGGTGCATCAGCTAAGGCATATGGTGCCGTGGTCTTTCTGCGTATCGTGAGGACGTGTGTAAGTTATCTCAGATTTGTGTCTTTTAAAACACGATTAACACCCGTCTTGGAGCAGACCATACTGCGTCTGGAACTGTTATCAGCGGTAGTCCTGTCCAGACTAATTCATAGCATAAAGGAAGCACTTAGTTCTGAGATGAAGATTGACAAATTGATGTGTTGGACTGATTCCAAGATAGCCTAGTATTGGATTGTTCAGAGCCAGAAGGAGTGGAAACCGTTTGTTCTGCACCGGGTTGACAAGATAAGAAAGCTTGTACCTGAAGAATGCTGGAATCATTGTCCAGGGGCCGACAACCCAGCTGACTTACTCTCTAGGGGTATTTAATGTCGTGAGTTGGAGACAGTCTGCTATGGTGGAGTGGTCCTACGTGACTTACTAGTTTCAAGGGCCTGGAGAATCAGAAGGAGATTGCAGAAGAGAAAGTCCATGAAACGTGCCTTGTAGAAATGAGGGCGAAGGATCGGAAGATAGTAACGACTGCTCTTGCAATGAACAGTGAACCTGCTATGCTACGTAATGTCATTCAGAGTGAAGCCTTCAGTAATCTTTGACGCCTCTTGCGAGTTACAGCCTTACGTGTGAAGTTTATTAAGCTATTAAAGGTACAGCGACAAGGAGATGTGAATCAGAAGGTAGAGATACATGTGACAGGTGCAGAGATAAAGTAGCCAAACTTCTATGGATCAAAGAAGTTAAACGAGAGATGAAGAGCAAGGAGAAGTTTAAGATGAGGTCGCACCAGTTGGGGTTGTTTAAGGATGATAAGGGAGTTATTCGATGTCAAGGTAGACTCGGGAACAGAGAGCTTGCAGGTTCTGTATCCAATCTTGCTTGACACTACTTTTCTACTCTTGTAGTTTGGAGATGTCACGAAAGAGTCATGCATGGAGGAGTTAAGGAAACACTCACCTAGTTGAGCTCGAACGTTTGGGTTGTTCGCAGCTGATACTTTATCAGAAGTTTGTTATTTAGATGCACAGTTTGTAAAAAGTTTGAAACGAAACCCTACAAGGTTCCACCATCTCCACCCCTACCTAGATACGGAGTGAAGGAGGCGCCTGCATTTTCGTACATTGGTTTGGATTATGTTGGAGCCCTTTTTGTGAAGTCTACCAGTGCGGAAGAACGTAAGGTCTGGATTTGTTTGTTCACTTGTTGTTCTTCGAGGGCGGTCCACTTCGAGGCTGTACTCAGTATGACCTCAGAGGCATTTCCTAGGTGCTTTAGAAGATTTGTGGCTCGTCGTTCAGGGCCTTCTTTAGTGGTATCAGACAATGTCAAACCTTCAAGAGTGCTTCTAAGGAGCTTGAGAAAATTGCAAATGATCCCAGTGTTGTTGAGTACTTTTGCCCACGAGAAGATCAAATGGTCCTACAACTTAGAGAAGGCCCCATGGTGGGGAGGTTTTTACGAACGACTTGTTAAGTCATTGTTAAGTCGACCGAGTCAAACGTTCCTATGGTGAGCTTGTAACTGCTGTTACAGAAGCTGAAATGACCTTAAATTGCCAACCCATTTCATATGTCTATTCTGAGGACCTGGAAGAACCCCTTACACCTTCCCACCTCATTGTTGGTCAGAGACTCAGCGCCCTCTCTGAAATAGACAGTCCTGCAGATGCAGACTTTAGAATTTTGCCGGACGACCTGAGCAGAAGAGCGAGAAACCTTAACATGATTATGATGGAAGCATTGGAGAGCAGAATATCTTCTTGAATTACGAAAAGCCCATAACCGATTAAAGAAGACGGCGGGCTCAAGTGTAGTGTCTGTCGGAGATCCAGTATCGGTTCATGACGAAACTCACCCAAGATTTTATTGAAAGATGGGCAAGGTGGGACGGTTTCTGATGAGCAAGGATGGGCAGAGTAGAGGTGCTGAGGTCAGAGTCCAAGGGAGGCGATGAAGCAGAGGTGGACTCTTAAGGAGACCGCTACAATTGTTGTACCCTCTGGAAGTAAGCTGTTCTACAAATGAAGTAGCTGCTCAGGCGCAATTAGCTGAATGGCCAGAACAGCCGACGCAAGGTCGAGCGAGAGGAAAGCGAGATCGGCGTAGAGCAGCCGTTAAGTGAGAGCGAAAAAGAAGACAGTGGATTGCGGAGTTACAAGAGCAAGAGGAACATTAAGTTTATTAGCGGAGCTCGCGCTCTTCGCGTAGCACTATGGGTAAGTAGATCTACCCATCCCAGAAAGTTTGGTAATCACATGACCGTACACTGATCGCCCGCCGACCGTCCGTTGGCACCACAAGCATACCAATGTTTACTCTCACACTTTCTAGCTACTTTGGGAGCCCAGGAGAAAACTAATTGCACATCAATGTTGTGATCAATTGACAGCTGTCAAAACAATGTACCTGCTGACCAGTATCACCTGATCGTATCACGGGCCTAGGTGTCGACCCATCCAGGTCAAGTATTTTTTTGAAGTTATCCACTGACAAGTTACTAGTTTTCAAATGATCGCAGGCTCAAGTGTTTTTTTTAAATTCATATGAAATATGTTGTGTTTATGTCACTATGGCCCTGCACTATTAACATTTTGATTTCAAACTGACCTCGGACGCGAAAATTCAACCCGTTTAAAAATACAAGCAGGGAAAACCGATGCTTTTCACTTTTCTTACCATAGTCACGTGTTGCTCATGTTCTTCGTCCAATTGTTTTGCTCTGATTGGTTAAAATTTGACAGGCAAGTTCATGTGGAGAATTTATACAGCATCTTGAAACTTGTTTAATTTGACAGCTGAAGCTGACACAGTTTTGTGTCAACTTTTGATGTTTTAACTGTCTTTTTCCGATGGATGTACAAAATGAAATACAGCTGCTATCAAGAGTCTTCTGTTATTCATGGATGGTTTGTTTATTGAATTTTTGGTTGAGAAATGCGCCGTTTGTCAAAGTCGGAAATCCAATTTCGGATGGCATCGTTTTCGTTTTTCACCTTGCTGGATGCGTAAGAGGGTTGAAAAGTCTCAAGCGATTCTGGCCATACTTGATTGTTTTCAGGAGCTGCATCTGATTTTTCTCGAACGGTAAGCCTGAGTAATTATTGTATTTGTTTGTTTTTTTATATCTAATTTCATGAAGTCGAGTGCAGTTTATGAGGCTAGTTTATGCACGTTTGTATTAAGATTTGAGACAATGATCTGACTTAGTGTGAGGTTCAATATAAGCTTACAGAACTTTAAAATGCCTTTAGTCGATACTTTCTCACCGCAAATAGAAAGAAAAAACGTTCCGAAGAATATTTAGTTATAATTTTGGCTGTATATATGCATATATACAAAGAAAGCTTTAAGCGATTTTCTTGCCTCGAGTTCATCTTTGAAAACAGCAAACAACGGGAAGCCGGCTTAAAATGTAAACTTAAGCTTCAAGCTTCAAGACTCAGGATTTTTAGAGACACTTTAATACTTAACTTCGTGAATGAAAATTGTTGTTTCCGTAAATGTTTCACCGAATTATATTTCTTTTATTGATTTTTAGTAGTCTCTTGCAATTTTAATCGCTTTCCTGTTTGTTTTCAGTCGTTCATAAACATCACCTTCAGGAGTACTCAAAATGCTGCGCATATCAAACGCTCTTTAAGATTACACATCGTTTTAAAACCATTGAATAAAAAATAAGCACAATGAATTCTTCATTATGTTGAAGCGTAAGTCTTTTAATGTCCACTGCAAATTTTGCACTTGTCAAAAGTGAGAACCGGCAGGCCGTATTGGTGATTTTGGAAATTTTTTGAACGGTTGTGCTAAAAGCCCACGCGTGCTTCGATGGTTGTGAATACTGAATTAGTGCAATTTATCTTGAAAAACTGTTAAATTCTGCATTTTGTCTGAGGTCTGTATGATAAAAACAGTGCCTCATAGTACTGTTTCACCTCAGATGTGACGTATAAAAAGTATAAAAGGTTGGTTTACACGCACCCAGATTTGTTGGCAAAAATTTGTATAGTAAACTTGTCGAACGAAAAATATTCGGTCTGATTTGTTTTCCAGGCCTAATGTACTGTGATCAAGAGCCATTATGGCTCTTAAATGTGATCGAACATGATTACTCTTTTTTGGGTTCACATATAAGCCTATAAACTCGATGTAAGATTTGTTTCACTCTAAAATCACTTAAGGTATCATCCAGGGTAAAAAAATCATTTTTCTAAATTTGCAATTTTTAGACGATTAAATAGAGCTCATCAAGAGCTTTCTTTTAAAAAAAAATCCAGGAAAAAATGTTTTTTTCTGTGCAGACTGATGGAGTGCAAAAGTTTTTTCTATGCTAATTATTTTAATTGATCGTCATACTTGATATGTGTGCCGCTGTTGAACCAAGCTAATCACGCAATTTGACAGAAATCGCGGTTTACAAGTATAGTGCTCACTGTTTTTCCCTGTCCTCGACTCCAAGACAAAAGAAGACGACAAAATCGTTTCGCCGCTAAAGAGTGGCCTTCGAAATTAGCAGAGAGCGACAAGGGCTCCTACTACAATCAAGAAAAATGGCTAAAAGATGACAAAGCTCCTGAAAAACCCATTGAAACTACCGCGGAATCGAGTTTCATGAGTTCGTTAGCGAGCGGAGCGAACTTTTTAGGCCGCGAAGCAGCCAAGCGAGAGACGAAGTCACGAGAGGTCCCGCGCCATATAAAAATCGGACGAAGTACTGTTTTGAAAGTCTATTGTAGCGGGGAAGAAGTTTCAAGAAAAACTCCAGGCAGCGGTTTGTTGTCGATTTTTCCAGGGAAGTGTCGAACTTTTAAAAAATGTATCAAGTAAAAGTCGGCTTGGCTCAACTTGGCTTGTCCGGTGAGAAAATGAAAACTGCCCGTTGCAAATAACTAATGAAGCTTTCTCGACAACAGAAAGGATCGAACAGAGCAGAGCTTTTGAAATAAATTGTTCATCTGTTGTCGGGTTTCGTTTTCAACTTTTCCTGCTGTGTCACTATTGTTGCCCCTTCTCTGGTATGCATCAACATTGACAGCTTTGGTGTTATAATCTGTTATAATCTCGTCACGGGTAATACGCCGCCAAAAATCTTTTTCCACTGTTTTCTCGAAATGAAAATCAGGGTAAGTTGAGGGTACGTTTTAAACTCCAAGTCGGCAACGCGTGAACCAATTTGGCTGAAATTTGGCCAACTTACTATCAGATAGTTTTTCTAAAAAAACGTGTCTGCGAATTTTGATTTCTTTTTTCGTTTTTTCGTTGTTAGAGTATTTTTTTCACAGGTAGTGCTAATGATTTGCTATCCCTAACTTCACCTGCTTATAACAACAAAACAAGCGCACTTGACGAAAATCTGAGACACGGTTTTTTAGTCAAACGTGTTAAGAAGCGAATGCGTTCTTAATTGGCTTCTTCCGTTCATTTTTGGCTGGACTGGACTTAAATTTATAGTGACACCCACTTTCACAAAAAGCTTCTCATTTCTAAATCGCGGTTAATATTTTGATTCTTTGAAAGAAATAAGCAATAATCTGGAACTAGTAAGCTTTAAGAAAATGTATGGTTTATGGGGGTATTTGTTAAAAGCAAAAGCGCTAGGGCCGATCAACGCGAGGAAGGTGCTTGAGGGTGGATAATACCTTAACCTTTCCCTCAAAAGTCACATATGTGCCCTTAAGTTAACTGGATTACAAGTTTATTGTTTGATTAAATTATAGCGGGGCTCCCACGCGCGCGAAGCGTGCGTGGGACAGAGCCCCATACTCATACAATATGGTCAACCTCTTTTCGTTTGGTTGTCACGTGATTGATCGAGCGTACGTACGTACGTACGCGTCTACAGATTGTAAGGGTGGGGTAGGGGAGACTATCAAAAGGGAAGGAGGGGTGTCTCAGGCGTGTCTTGGCAACTCCACATCTTGTATATTGGACATTCACAAAATGGTCAATTGACAGCTGTCAAACCAGGATAGCCACTGACCAGTATCACACGGCCATATCGCGTGACCATAAGCGATACTGGCCTTACTTGATACCTTTCAGGGCTGCATCTCGAACGGTAAGCCTGAGTAATTATTTATTTGATGGTTGTTTTTTATATCTAATTTAATGAAGTCGAGCGTAGTTTATGCGGCTATTTAGTTTATGCACGTTTGGAAGATTTGAGACAATGATCTGACCGAGTAGCAGGTTTGATCTAAGCTTACAGAACTTTAGGAAGCCTTTAGACATTTTCTCACCGCAAATAGAAAGAAAACGTTCCAAAGAATATTTAGTTGTAATTCTGTCGGTAAAAGAAAGCTTTGAGCGATTTTCTTGCCTCGAGTTCTTCTTTGAAAAAAAGCAAACACCAGGAAGCCGGCTTAAAACATAAACTTAGCTTTAAGCTTGAAGACTCAGGATTTTTAGAGACACTTTAATACGTGTCTTCGTGAATGAAAGTTGTCGTCTCTGTATATGTTTCACAAAATTATATTTCTTTTATTGATTGTTCGAAGTCTATCTTGCAATTCGTTCAGTGAACATCGCATGCAGGAGTACTCAAAATGCCGTGCGTTAAATCATTAAATAAGAATAAACATAATAAATTCTTTATTTATGTTGGAACTTAACTCTATTAATGTTCATTCAAACACTCGCCACATCTCGCACTGCAAAAGTTAGAACCGGCTGGCTGTATAGGTGATTTTGGAAGTTTTTTTTAACGGTTTAGCTAATAAAAGCCCACGCTTGCCTCGATCGTCCTGAATATTGAATTAGTGCAATTTGTATTGTAAAATTTTGAAATACTGCGTTCTGTCCGAGGACTGTGTGATAAAAACAGTACCTCGTAGTACTGTTTCACCTCACATGTGATGTATAAATGGTATAAAAGGTTTGTTTACACGCACCCAGAGTTGTTGGCAAGATTTTGTGAAGTAAACTTGTCGAGCGCAAAAAAGTTCGGCCTGATATTTTTTCCAGGCCTAATTAATCTACGGTGATCAAGAGCCATTATGGCTCTTAAATGTGATCGAAGATGATTGCCAGTTTTGTGGTGTACATATGAGGCTATCAACTCGATGTAAGATTTGGTTCACTCTTGGGCTGTTTGCAAATTATTTTTCTCCAAAATTACTTAGCCTTTCCCTCAAAAGTTACATGAATGTGCTCTACAGTTAACTGAATTGTGGAGTACAAGTTAATTGTTTGATTTAAATTATAAATTTATTAATGGGAGCCTCGCTTTTAGCCCTGGCTAAATCTATATATTAATTTTATTAATGGGAGATTCGCTTTTAGCCCTGGCTAAATCTATATATTATTTGTGCTCTGAACATTGAACGGTTTTTTGAGAGAGGTTTTCTCATTGAGTTAGCTTCTTTTTCTTTTCGATATTTGATGACAGGTATAGAAGGTAGACCATTCTTCATGGTCCGCGGGCGGGAGTGTGCGCTATGAAGTAAGGGTTTAGGAGCTCGCTAGGCCTTCTGGGAGAGATCGGAAAAACGTGTTGTGTTCTTGTTGGCAAACTTTATGAGTACGAACATATGAGTCTACGGAATCTGCAAAATGCTGTGTAATCTTAGTGAAACTGGAGTGTTGTAACCTAAGAAACGAGTCTCAGACCTGGAATAAATACAGTTCAGTTCAAATTCGTCTACATTTTGGCTTGATTCGAAATTTTGGATGTTTTCCTCAAAAGTGGTTTCTTGTATCATAAGACAGAGCGCCTCTCCGTTAGTTAACCTTCTTTATTTTTGTCCAAGCTTGCAAGCGGATGGAATCCTCCAAATCCTGCAATCTGATTTGTTCCGAGAGCGGGCGGTATTTTACGATCTTGCCCACTAACCCGGGCGGAATCGTTGGCAGCTTCATTCAAAAGTTTGTTTGTTGTTTGTGAATGAGCAAAAACCGTCATTAATTTTCAAACCATTTTTTAAAATTTGCGCTATTATTAGCATTAGCTAGGGAAAAGTGAATTTTATTATTCAGACAAAAATTCTGAAGGTAGAATCAAGCAAGTCAGCCAAGAAAACCGTTAAAGTAAAGCAAAACCGGTGGCTCGTGTTATCGCTTTACTAGCTTTATAACTGCGCTGTAAGTACTGCAATATTGCTTTTATTCATCTTTTATTGGACATTTTTGCTCTGTTTGTAGTTTTGTTTATAAATCTAGATTCTGCCGTTTTTCATTGAGTTTTGCCTGGCTAGTTTTCTACTTATCAAAAAAGGTTGTTGCCGGTGATTGTATTTAGCTTTTAATCTTAAATAAACAACATGAATCGGTTTTCCAGCAGTCGGTTATCGAAATCGATCGCTCACTTCATCAACACGAACGCGTCCTACTTCAACACACATAGGTTCGAGAGTGAAGGAAAATTTTCCAGAAACTTTTAAATCTCAGTAGGGAAAAAATAAAAATGTTATTCACCGGCCTAGGTCGGTCCGTATTAGTTGAAATTGTGCCCTCGGTCTGAGTACCGGTACTCAAGACCTCGGTCACAGTTTCTCCCAATACGGACCTCCCAGCCAATAAATAACGTATATTTATGTCTGGGGGTAGCGTTTGCATGTCCAGGATAGATTCGTTACTATCACCTTTGTACACTATTGGGTCCAAAAAAGTGACCTCTGATTCAGACATCTCAGTGGTAAGTGTAGAGTTATTAAAAAAATATATTGATTTAAAAGTATAGTAATGCGTAAGTTTAAGAAATAGATTCCATGTTGCCGTGCGTCTGTTCAGTAAAAGATCACAGATGACGTCAAATGTGGTAAAAACAATGAAGTCGCTGATGCTTTTACCACATTTTGACGTCCTCTGTGATCTATTAATGAACAGACGCACGGCAGCATGGAATCTATTTGTTTTATACAATGATCAGAAAGGGAAAAAGACCGATACACATACCTGCCTCGTACCGCATGACTGTTTGAGGATTAATGCTAGTTTAGGCATTTTTTTAAGTCCCAAACGCTACTTTTTCGTCCCTCGTCGTAGAGTAACTGCAATTAATTAGTCTCTTTGTTTTCTTTCTTAGTTCCTTAAACTTCATGAACAAGTCCTGAGAGGCACTCTCTTTTTCTTTCTAACTAATTTCATAACTTCTTTGTTAATCCGAGGAGGTCTGGAACGTCCTTTGAGTGTTATCTGTGGTATATGTTGATCAACAACACAGAGCACAATATCTTGAAACTTAACCAGACTTGTATTAATTCAGGCATCAAAGATTACCAGATCCCATGGTATAGAGAGTAATGATTCTTGCAGACTCTGAAAATCAGCCTTTTTATAACAATAGACTTTCCACCTAACATTATCTGGCCTTCTCATCTTAGCATGTAACTTGAAGGTAAGGGGATGATGGTCATAATCAAATGCATTTGGTCTTCACTACTACCTCTTCAAAGAGGAGGTCATTATTAGTACGAACGAGATCCAAAGTGTTTCCAAGAGAACCAGGATTCCTTGAATCACGAGATACATGCATTTTCTTCTGAATCAGAAAGTAATCATCTGACAATAATCAAAAGAATCTGTAAGCATCCGAGTATGCAAGTCAGAAACCTTGTTCCGTATACTTCTAGCATTCAAAACCAAAACATATGGGAAATTATTATGTATATCAGCAATAACCCTGTCTGATGAAAGTGAAGCCTGAAGATTGGAATCTAAAGCATGTTCAGTCGGTTCCTCAAAAAACGAATCTGAAAAGTTAAAAGGAAAGGAGCAGTTCGTACAATACCGAGAGTCATCAGAGGAACTTAGCATCATGTACGTTCTGTTGTCCAAGCCGATGCACTTGGCATGATGCCAGTTAGAGCAGCCGTCACGGAGAATTCCCTTTTGGTTTGAAGCAAATCGCACATGGGTGTTTCGACGTGGGAGGCTTTCTTCCAGCGTAGACTCCCGCTCTATTAGAGGTATTACCATGACCTGGATTGGGAATAGCTCCTGTTAACTTTTTTCGGGCTTTCACTTGCTATTATCCGAAATAATCTCACAAAGAACTTCAAAACCGCGTGCCGTGTTGAACAAAACAAACAAAACAAGTTTCCCGTGACGTCATTCATGTATCTGTACTCTAATAGATCATGGGCAACGACCAATCATAGCGCGCGTAGCATTCACGTCATTGTATAAATTGGAATAGATGAAGACAAATGTGCCAATTTCTCCTCTTCCACAAACCTCTTTTTTTCATCTAGATTTATGTTCCACAGAGAGAACACATGACTCGCAGGTCTGCTTCACATGGCTCGCTGGCTCGCATTTTGTATACACTCGACAATGTTTCTTGGGCTAGGTGATACTCGCTCGTTACGTCGTCGTTAGTCAGATGTTGAACAGACTCAGTAACAAGTTACGTTCACACTCATCTTTCACCCATCTTTCCACCACAAAGAATCTACAGTAGCTTGTCTCTCCAAGGTCCTCGCCGCTTGGGACGTTTCGCAGGAGATACGTCTGCACCTCAGCGACAAGAATTCCATACTGCTGAAGTAAAATCTGGTCAGGAGCGCCGATTTGTCGACCTAGTAATTATATTGTCTTAGCCTTTGCTTGCAAATTACAGAAAAAAGATATAAATCAAAAAAGAACTTCATGCGTGCGTGGCTCCCTTGAAAACTGGGCGAGAAGGAGTGATTTTCATGTGAAGTCAGTATTTATCATCAACAGTTTTTACGTAGTCACATTGACATTATTTGACTTGTCTCGAAATACCTGTTAGTTAAGGGTATTTCAACTTTGCAAAGCGTTATAAATGTTGTGAATAACAAATCAGTTGCGCCTGTCTCGCCAAAGTCCCTTTACAGTATGATTAGTCATGTATGCAACAAGTTCTTTTTTGAGCCGCCTGTGCCACTAACTGAAAAGTAGTCTTTCTCGTATATTTACCAGGCGTTAAATTCATTATCGCATTTCTGTCATTGTAGACGTAGCAGTATGCGGGATGTTTGTCACGTGAACCTAGTTTGGTGGCCTTAGCTTACCTCCCACAAGTAGCTCAGCGGTAGTGCATCTGGACTAGCAACCAGGAGATCATAGGTTCGACTCCTATTGGGAGTACTCGGATTTTCTTGTTCTGAGCCGCCTGTGTCACTGACAGAAAGTAATATCTTTTTTAAGATACTTCAACTCCCACAGGAAATCGGGTTGGTCATCTGGCCAATGGTTACCACACTCATAGCTGAGTGACGATAAGCTGTAAAGACAATAAGCTTAAATAAGCTTAAGCTTGTTTTAAAGAAGGTCTATACCAAGACTGGAGCTCCGAGACGACTCCGAAAGCTGGTGCCTGCTGACCACTCTCGTCTGCTGTGCAAGGCTTATATACTTCCACACCTGGAATATTGTAGTCCACTATTATTAGGGATTAAAAAAACTCTGAACAACACACCTGAATCTGCGAACTAATATGCCTTAAAAACCCTCTTAAATTTCTGCTGTAAACATGCAATCAGTGGAACATAGACGGTTCTATCAATCTCTTATCCTCCTTTTTAAATGTATAAAAGGAAGTGGGCCTGTTTATATTTTCAATTTATTCGATCCTCGTCAATGGTATTATAATTTAAGGAATATTAAACACAAATTCATTCCACAATGCTATAATAATCGATATTATCCCAATTCTTTTACTTACAAGACTTCGCATTTGTGAAATCAGCTACCTACTTATCTACCTTCTTCTGAGCTGAGTGACTTTCACAAGAATTTGAGATCAATTAACTTATAAACTTAAAGGTCAGTTGCAAATGTAACAAGAAGGCGCTCTTGAAGCGTACACCTCGGTATCGTGGAAAGAAGGTCCTGGATTCTTTTCGATATCATAACAAAGCTTCAATTTGTTACAAATGACCTTGTGGTTTAAAATTATACAGTCACTTATTGGAAAATTACGTGTACACAGGCGTAAATACTTCCTTAAAATCTTATTCTATATTTCACTGCAATTCTCTTCTTTCGTACTTGACAACAAATACACCTTTCCTCGTTTAGCAACCTTTTTGTTACTCCCCCTTTGAAACAAAGCCACATTCTTTCCTTTATACCTCTTTAGACGAGAATTTGCATATTTTATATAACAATAAACTTTAGACGACACTGGGGTATTTTGCCGGATACCCTTCCATACAATACCCTTACTTCTCTCTTTTTATGTAATAGACGTCTTAACTTCTTGACCGGAAGTCTGCTTGGTGCATGTCCGCGTCGCTGTAAGCAAATTCGATCATCATTTCCGTCATAAATAAATTGCGCATAACAATATCGCAGTTCAACTTCCTTTATTTCCTCTACAACAACGTTATGTATAGTTAACTCCACATGTTCTCCAGCAACGTAACTAACATAAGAATACTCCTTTACAAAACTTGCTGATAATGCACAATCTCCACACTGAGGATAAGTCATGTACAACACCGCAACATAAATTATTACATGAAAAACATTAACACGCAATACAAAAACAAGCATGAAAACACCTACTTTTCCAAACAAAACCAAAAAAATAGCAAGGATAATGATTCCTATCACAACCTTTGGCGAAACGACGATAACTGCGCTCTTCTTCCTCTTGTTGACAATCTATCGGTTGGTCACAACACAAATGACTGCACCGCTTTCTCTTTCGAATTACTCTTGCTGCAGTCTTCGTCAATTGTCCAAATCTCTTCAGTCTTAAACGTTATACACATTCCTTTTGCAAAACGTTTCTCCATGTAACTTGTGTAATCTTCACTTTGTACAAACTGACGTCGTCTATTTAAGCATAATGTCTTTGACTGTCTCAATAGTTTCCTTTTATTAACCTTAAGTTCGCGGACCAGCCCATTCTGAAAACGCCTTATTTTCTTTTTTTCAGGGGCCTACCGCGAACAGTGTGTGTATTTGTATGTGAAGGCGCCAAATAACACATCATGCGTATTTCAACAAAATATTCCCTCCTTCCTCTTCTTAAATAGTCGCCAATTTCATCCCAACTTTCCAAATCACTGGGATAAAAAACAGCCAACTCTTCCCTAATTGGCTTGTCGATTTCGGCCTTGCAGTCCAAAAAATAAAATCACAGAACGAGCAAATTCAGATAACCTCTCTGCCTATCTTTGATTGGTGGATTTAAATCCTCTGTTTATCATCTCTTCTCGCCACAGCTGCAATAACATAAACCATTTGTGAGCTACACTCGTAAACACAAACTGAACGCTTTTCCTTTTTAATAAGAACTGGCATTTGCAAATTTGTATTGGTAAATGTATTTACTCCTAATGTATGGATTTAACCAGGGCTAAAAGTGAAGCTCTGGTTAATAATCAGGGGCACCCAACGTCACTTTTCGGAAAATATCTGTTGGGAAGACAATTTAAGATCTAGAATTTTCGGAACATTTGTTGTAAAATTTCTTGCTTGTCTGCCTCTCCTAGGATTTTCGAATACCTAAAATATGGTAAAATTGCCCATTTTTAACGGATTTTACCCCAAAAAGGTCACCTAAAATTTTCGACAAGGTAAATTTTGATCCCTATAATTTTCGGATCACTAGACTTTCAGCTAGGAAATCCGAACAGACGAAAAATTTTAGGGGATAAAAATATGCGTATATCTACCTTTTAAGTAATATATAGATTTAGCCAGGGCTAAAAGCGAACCTTCCATTATTAAGTTTATTATTTAAATCAAACAATAAAACTTGTATTCCAAAATTCAGATAACTTTACAGCACATTCATGTGACTTTTGAAGGAAAGGCTAAGTGATTTTAGAGAAAAATAATTTGCAAAGAACCCAAGAGTAAACCAAATCTTAAATCAAGTTTACAGCCTCCTATGTACACCTAAAAAATAGCAACCATCTTCGATCACATTTAAGAGCCATAATGGGCAGGCTCTTGATCACCGTAGATTGATTAGGCCTGGAAAAACAGGCCGAATTTCTTGCGTTCGACAAGTTTACTTTACAAAATCTTGCCAACAAATCTGGGTGCATTTTACCATTTGTATATCACATCTGAGGTGAAACAGTACTATGAGGCACTGTTTTTATCATACAGACCTAGGACAGAATGCAATATTTCACAATTTTGCAATACAAATTACACTCATTCAATATTCAGGACGATCGAAGCACACCTGGGCTTTTAGCTAAACCGTTAAAATAATTTCCAAAATAACCTATACAGCCAACCGGTTCTCACTTTTGCAGTTCATGAGCTGTTGTCGACTGTTTGAATAAACATTAATAGAGTTTCACTCCACCACAATAAAGAATTTATTATGTTTATTTTTTTGTTTATTTTATTGACGTGTAATCTTCAAAAGCGTTTGATACTCGCAGCAGCTTGAGTACTCGTGCAGGCGATGTTGACACTGAACGACTGAAGACAAACGGCACAGCTATTAAAATTACAATAGAGACTACCAACAATCAATAAAAGAAAATAATTCGGTGAAACATATACAGAGACGACAATTCTCATTCACGAAGACAAGTATTAAAGCATATCCAACAAGCGCGAGTGAAATAATTGTTTTATTAAAAACGCCCACAAAATCTCGTTGAATCTCCCCGACTAGAACAAACCGGAAAAGACAAGGGACTTCCGCTATTCACATGTCACACGTCTATCAAAACTGTCAACGCGCCAACGGACTCGCCTGGACTGCATGAATGAAAACTCAAAACATTGTAGTGATGAACATTAGTTTTTTAAAAACTCATCGGGATTCTAGGATTTTACACAGCAGAACAGCTAAAAAAAACCTGGCAGATAATGTGAAGGAAAAGAATTTTTAAGTGACAGCCGTTGAAATTACTGTGAATTAAGATTTTCGGTGCAGTTATAAAAGTAAGAACAACGGAGGAAAACTATTACCTCGGTCGCTTGTTATGAAGTTAGTTGAAGCCATAAGCTGGTTTTGCTGAACAAGAAAAGAACCTATACTGGCGCCTCGATTACTCTAGTGAATGGCGACAATGGCTGCATAGCCTGTATTTGTAGCTGGTTACTTGTGATTTATATTCTTGATGTCGGATAAACAAGCCGCAGTTATCTATCGGCGAGTGACTCGATCAGAGAATGGCTTCGTGATCATGAAGAAACAACACTTGTCTTCTTTCACAGCTGGTCAAGGTACTTTAGTTCCATGTGTTTTCATGTGTTTTTCGACAAACTTTCAAACAAGCTCTTGTGGCTTTTTTGTTTGTTTTTGTCTTTTTTCTTTCGATGAAATTGCATTTCTAGTATTCTAAGAAATGAATTGAAACAATTTGCTTCGGGCACCGTTCTATCCTTCGCGAAAAAAAATCTCAGCTAGCTTCCAATTTTAAACTGACGCGTACACCGACCATATATGGAGTGCATGGTATAATAGCTCATATACCATAACGGCTAAGCCAATCAAAATGCTAGAATTGCATTATCCAATGATTCAGTTTTTAATAAAACTAAATATTCTTTGAAACGTTTTCTTTCTATTTGTGGTGAGAAAATGTCTAAAGGCTTTTTAAAATTCTGAAAGCTTGATCAAACTTGATACTCGGTCCGATCATTGTCTCAAATCTTACAAACCTGCATAAGCTAAATAGCCGCATAAACTACGCTCGACTTCATTAAATTAGATATATAAAACAAACATCAAATACAATCATTACTCAGGTATACCACTCGAGATGCAGCTCCATAAAGGTATCAAGTAAGGCCAGTATTGCTTTAGACTTTTCAAGCAAGGTAAAAAACGAAAACGATGCCATCCGAAATCGGATTTCAGACTTTGACATGCGACGCATCTCTCAACGAAAAAAAACAATAAACAAACTAGCCATGAATAACAGAATACTCTTGATAGCAGCTGTATTTCATTTTTGTACATCCAGTACAAAAAGGCAGTTAAAAACATCACAATTGACACAAAACTCTGTCAGTTTCAGCCGTCAAAGTAAGCAAGCTTCAAGATGCTGCATAAATTTTCCGCATGAACTCGCCTGTCAAATTTTGACCAATCAGAGCATAAAAATTAGACGTAGAGCGTGACCAACGCGTGACCTTGGCAAGAAAAGGTCTTCCCCGCCTGTATTTCTAAATAACTGACTGAATTTTCCCGTCCAAGGTTAGCTTGTAATCAAAATCTTAATAGTGCGGGGCCATAGTGACATAAACACAACATATTTCACATAACTTTTTAAAAAAATAAACTTGAGCCTGTGATCATTTGAAAACTAGTAACTTGTCAGCGGATAACTTCAAAAAAGTACTGGACCTCGATAGGTCGACACCTGAGCGCGCGATACGGTCAAGTGATACTGGTCAGCGGATACCTTGTTTTGACAGCTGTCAATTGATCACAACATTGATGTGCAATCAGTGGGCTCAGAAAGTACCTAGAAAGTGTGAGAGTAAACATTGGTATGCCTGTGGTGCGGACGGACGGACGGTTGGGCGGTCGGTCGGTGTACGGAATTTTGGAATACTTTTCGCCCCTTTCTGCATTCAAAAAGGAACACAAAGCAAGCTAATGATATAGTGTTAAAGAAAAAGATGTTATGATTTATGACAAAATACAAATCGTGCAGCTGTTTAATAACTACTTTGTAAATATTGTGGATAACGTGCCAGAAATAACTGAGCAGCAGTACGAGCGCTAGGCTTCAGCGCACATCCAAGCATTAAGGCTATTGTTGGGAACAATTGTTCGAAGAACACACGACCGAGGTTAAGCTTTCAGTATACAAACAACAGAAGAGTTTTTACAGGGTATAAACACGCGAAAATCTTGCGGCCATGACGGAATATCTCCTCGACTTCTCAAAGAATCGACAGGCGTAATTTCAGGTCCATTATGTAATATAATGAATCACTCGACTGCACAAGGCCATTATACATCACGCTGGAAAATGGGCCAAGTCACTCCGTTGCTCAAAAAAGATGACGAGTCTAAGAAGGAGAATTACAGACCAGTGACTGTGCTGCAAGCACTAAATAACACCTTCGCGAGGTTCTTATCCTTTCAGATGAGCGAATTCTATTGCAGCATATTGTCGGATTTTTAGCGGAGCTCCCGCGCGAAGTGCGCGCAGCGGAGCACCATGTGTAACAAAATTTGGTAAACTATCCATCCGAGAAAATTTGGTTATGACGTAGCGTACGCCCACCCGTACACACACTTCATGTAAGCAGATGTCAAATGTCATAATAGATCTTGCACAACTTGATTAGCCTTTCAGTTTTGTAAACCATCCGTATGAGTACGATTAGATTGACAGCTGTCAAAATCAGACATCCGCTGACAATTATCGCATGACCATCTCGCAGGCTCAGATGAAAGACCAGTCGTTTTGCCCCTACATATAAGCTGATATAAAATGTCACACTTACCAATTCGACATAAAAACGAAACTACCCCGGGCAGAGCTATCAGTCGGCTGACAGTCGTTTAAAGTTTTATTGGCAAGCCAAATTAAGGTCAATTGACAGCTGTCAAAATGGGATATGTGCAGACCACTATCAGAAAACTAAAGCTGAAATGGCTCTTTAAGCTATTCTGGATAGTTGGTAAAGTTAATGCATTTGAAAATAGATGTCATCATATTGCTAATTTTCTTATTTGCCAGGCTGGGTGTACCGGCCCGCTCTAGAAAACTATCATAGTCACAGCTCCAGTCCCTAAAAATAAACCTCAAGATACGTTTGTTTAAGATTTCTAGTTTTTCTGCATCTTGTGCTTGACAGAAATGCCAAACCATAGAACAGTAAGACAAATTGGGAAGTATGAATGCCTTATAAAGCCGCAGCAAAACCCTAGCGGGAAATGAGCTTACCAAATCTGGTGAGAACGCTAAAAGGATTATTTATTTTTTTGCGAAGTGTTGAAATGTGCTCTTGGAATTTGAGTTCGTTGTCCAGAGTTACACCAAAAAGTTCCATAGAATCAGTCGACGAAAACGAAAACTGATTGTCTGTTTTTCCTAGTATAATCCCCTGGTGCTTGCTTGGGTTAGCGATCATCCCATTACGATGGAACCAGCTGTTAGCGATTTCGACCTCGCGCACCATGCGCTCCTCTAGACGTCTTGGGTTGGTATCAGAAGCATAAAGTTGACCATCATCTGCATATATATTCAGTTTCATTGTTTTTATGTGATAAAATAGATCGTTGATGAAAAATTGAAGAACATAGGTCCAAGAACACTGCCCTGAGTCACGCCCTTCCAATCGGAGAAGGTGTCGCTTACTTTTACACGCTGCATCCTGCCTGTCAAATAGAAGTGCTCAGCTCCTGTGGTCTATGCCATACGCTCTTGACTTAGCAATTAAGAGCTGGTAGGGAATGGTGTCAAATGCCTTTGACAAGTCCATGGATAGAACAGCAACAATCTCCTTGTTGTCCAGGCAATGCCTCCAATCTTCAGTCAGTCTAATCAAGACGTCTCGCANTTTCTTATTTGCCAGGCTGGGTGTACCGGCCCGCTCTAGAAAACTATCATAGTCACAGCTCCAGTCCCTAAAAATAAACCTCAAGATACGTTTGTTTAAGATTTCTAGTTTTTCTGCATCTTGTGCTTGACAGAAATGCCAAACCATAGAACAGTAAGACAAATTGGGAAGTATGAATGCCTTATAAAGCCGCAGCAAAACCCTAGCGGGAAATGAGCTTACCAAATCTGGTGAGAACGCTAAAAGGATTATTTATTTTTTTGCGAAGTGTTGAAATGTGCTCTTGGAATTTGAGTTCGTTGTCCAGAGTTACACCAAAAAGTTCCATAGAATCAGTCGACGAAAACGAAAACTGATTGTCTGTTTTTCCTAGTATAATCCCCTGGTGCTTGCTTGGGTTAGCGATCATCCCATTACGATGGAACCAGCTGTTAGCGATTTCGACCTCGCGCACCATGCGCTCCTCTAGACGTCTTGGGTTGGTATCAGAAGCATAAAGTTGACCATCATCTGCATATATATTCAGTTTCATTGTTTTTATGTGATAAAATAGATCGTTGATGAAAAATTGAAGAACATAGGTCCAAGAACACTGCCCTGAGTCACGCCCTTCCAATCGGAGAAGGTGTCGCTTACTTTTACACGCTGCATCCTGCCTGTCAAATAGAAGTGCTCAGCTCCTGTGGTCTATGCCATACGCTCTTGACTTAGCAATTAAGAGCTGGTAGGGAATGGTGTCAAATGCCTTTGACAAGTCCATGGATAGAACAGCAACAATCTCCTTGTTGTCCAGGCAATGCCTCCAATCTTCAGTCAGTCTAATCAAGACGTCTCGCAGCTATGTTGACGCCTATATGCCTAAATAATATATAGATTTAGCCAGGGCTAAAAGCGAAGCTCCAGTTAATAAATTCATAATTTAAATCAAACAATAAACTTGTAATCCACAGATCAGGGCATATTCATGTGACTTTTGAGGCAAAGGCCGAGTGATTTTAGAGAAAAATAATTTGACAGTCCAAGAGTGAAACAAATTTTACATCGAGTTAATAGTCTTATTTGTACACCCAAAAATAGCAATCATGTTCGATCACAGTAGATTAGGCCTGGAAAGTGTATTGTATTTGCATTAGCTGTTGCATCATAATGTGGCATTCACCAGTCTCTCTAACATTGCTCCGTTTAAGAGACTATGGATAATTGGACACCTCCGAAATATAATACTATGAAGGAACGGTGAAGCAGACTATTTTTCCCGAAACTTTGTGTACACATTAAGGACAACAACAACTCGCCACATGGTAAGTTTCAGCGATTTTTATTTCCATTTTCTAGCAAATTTCCCGACCTAAACTTTGCCCCATATGTTTGTGATACTAACAGTGAGCCTGGGTTACCTGTGATCAAAGCACGCGCTTCCTTTGCACAACAAATTATAGCATTGACCACATTATAAAACGTTTTCATGAAGAGAATTCCATAATGCCGGGACTTTTCAGTTAGAAAAATCTGGTCCTATGTGATATGCAGGGTAATAATTATGGGCTTTTAGTGAAAACAATAAAAAATTCCCAAAATCACCTTTTCGGCCAGCCTGACGGGTTCTCACTTTTGATAGGCACCAAATTTGCAGTGCGATTAATAGAGTTACCATTTACGCTTCAACATGATAGAGAATTTGTTATGTTTAGGTCTTATTTCACTTTATTTATAAAACTGTTTATGGTTTTGTTATGTGTAATCTTTAAAAGCGAGTAATAATTTACGCGCGGCGTTTTGAGTATTCCCGCATGCGATGTTTGTGTTCGACTGGAAACAACTGGTGCAGTGATAAAAATTGCGAGAGGGACTACTAACAATCATTAAAATAAATGTAATATGGTGAAACATGTACAGAGACAATAATTTTCATTCACGAAGACAAGTATTGAAAGAAAAGTGTCTCTGAAAATCATGAGTCAGGTAAGCATAAGCTTATTTATGTTTTATGACGGCTTCCCAGTGTTTGCTCTTTTACCAGGTAAACTCGTGGCAAGAAAATCGCTCAGAGCTTTCTGTTTACAGCCAAAATCATAACTAAATATTCTTCGGAACCTTTTCTTTGAATTTGCGATCAAAAAATGTCTAAAGGCTTTTTAAACCTGATACTATTGTACGTTAGATCATTGCTCGTGTATAAACTTAAGCCGCAAAAACCATACGCTTGACTTTAGGAAACCGAAAAAGAAAACACATCAAAGACAATAATTGCTCAGGCTTACCAGTCGAGATGCTGCTTCTGAAGGTCATCAAGTGTTCCAGAGTCGCTTGAGACTTTTCAACCCTCTTACGCCTCAAGCAAGGGCAAATGAGCTTATTTTGAAAACGATGCCATCCGAAATCGGATTTCCAATGACTTTGACAAGCGGTGCATTTGTCAACAGAAAGGGCAATAAACAAATCAGCCATGAATTACAGAACAATCTTGATAGGAGCTGTATTTCATTTTGTACATCAAGTAGAAAAAGACAGTTTAAAACATCACAAGATGACACAAAATTCTGTCAGCTTCAGCAGTAAGCAAGCTTCCAGACGCTGCAAACGCTGCACAAATTTTCCGCATGAACTCACCTGTCAAATTTTGACCAATCAGACGTAGAGCGTGATCAACGCGTGACAGTGAGAAAAGTCAAAAGCGATTGCCTTCCCTGTATGTAAAAGCCGGTTGAATTTTCGCGTCCGAGGTCAGTTCGAAATCAACATTTTAAAAGTGCGGCTCATGAACATGACTTATTTCATATGCATTTTAAAAAAATGAACTTGAGCCTGCGATCATTTGAAAAGTAACAACGTCAGCGAATAACTTCAAAAAAACACTCGAACTCAGTGGGTCGATACCTGAGCCCGCGATACGGTCAGGCGATACTGGTCAGCAGAAACACTATTTTGACAGCTGTCAATTAATCAAAACATGGATGTACAATATCAGGTTGCAGGCTCCCAAACTAGCTAGAAAGTGTAAGATTAAACATTGGTATGCCTGTGGTGCGGACGGACGGAATGTACGGTCACGTGATTGCCGAATTTTCTAGGATGGATAGATTTTCTAAGCTATGGGGCTTCAAATTGAGCCCGTGATCAAATAAAATATCAGCGAAAAACTTTAAAGACTACTTGACCTCAATGGATAGAAAAATGAGCCCGCGATAGAGTAAGGTGATGATGGTCTGCGTATACTCTAGTTTGATAGCTGTCAATTAACCTTCATTAGAATGGCGAATATTCGAATTAACAGACTACGAGTGTGAGTAAGACATATCCGTCCGGCTTGTAGTGGAAATGCCAGATCGTGTACCTGAGCGAACCTGAGCCCACGTTATTAGTTTTCTGATAGTGGTCTGCACATATCCCATTTTGACAGCTGTCAATTGACCTTAATTTGGCTTGCCAATAAAACTTTAAACGACTGTCAGCCGACTGATAGCTCTGCCCGGGGTAGTTTCGTTTTTATGTCGAATTGGTAAGTGTGACATTTTATATCAGCTTATATGTAGGGGCAAAACGACTGGTCTTTCATCTGAGCCTGCGAGATGGTCATGCGATAATTGTCAGCAGATGTCTGATTTTGACAGCTGTCAATCTAATCGTACTCATACGGATGGTTTACAAAACTGAAAGGCTAATCAAGTTGTGCAAGATCTATTATGACATTTGACATCTGCTTACATGAAGTGTGTGTACGGGTGGGCGTACGCTACGTCATAACCAAATTTTCTCGGATGGATAGTTTACCAAATTTTGTTACACATGGTGCTCCGCTGCGCGCTTCGCGCGGGAGCTCCGCTACTCAGCTCAGGTACACGATCTGGCATTTCCACTACAAGCCGGACGGATATGTCTTACTCACACTCGTAGTCTGTTAATTCGAATATTCGCCATTCTAATGAAGGTTAATTGACAGCTATCAAACTAGAGTATACGCTGACCATCATCACCTGACTCTATCGCGGGCTCATTTTTCTATCCATTGAGGTCAAGTAGTCTTTAAAGTTTTTCGCTGATATTTTATTTGATCACGGGCTTAATTTGAAGCCCCATAGCTTAGAAAATCTATCCATCCTAGAAAATTCGGCAATCACGTGACCGTACATTCCGTCCGTCCGCACCACAGGCATACCAATGTTTAATCTTACACTTTCTAGCTAGTTTGGGAGCCTGCAACCTGATATTGTACATCCATGTTTTGATTAATTGACAGCTGTCAAAATAGTGTTTCTGCTGACCAGTATCGCCTGACCGTATCGCGGGCTCAGGTATCGACCCACTGAGTTCGAGTGTTTTTTTGAAGTTATTCGCTGACGTTGTTACTTTTCAAATGATCGCAGGCTCAAGTTCATTTTTTTAAAATGCATATGAAATAAGTCATGTTCATGAGCCGCACTTTTAAAATGTTGATTTCGAACTGACCTCGGACGCGAAAATTCAACCGGCTTTTACATACAGGGAAGGCAATCGCTTTTGACTTTTCTCACTGTCACGCGTTGATCACGCTCTACGTCTGATTGGTCAAAATTTGACAGGTGAGTTCATGCGGAAAATTTGTGCAGCGTTTGCAGCGTCTGGAAGCTTGCTTACTGCTGAAGCTGACAGAATTTTGTGTCATCTTGTGATGTTTTAAACTGTCTTTTTCTACTTGATGTACAAAATGAAATACAGCTCCTATCAAGATTGTTCTGTAATTCATGGCTGATTTGTTTATTGCCCTTTCTGTTGACAAATGCACCGCTTGTCAAAGTCATTGGAAATCCGATTTCGGATGGCATCGTTTTCAAAATAAGCTCATTTGCCCTTGCTTGAGGCGTAAGAGGGTTGAAAAGTCTCAAGCGACTCTGGAACACTTGATGACCTTCAGAAGCAGCATCTCGACTGGTAAGCCTGAGCAATTATTGTCTTTGATGTGTTTTCTTTTTCGGTTTCCTAAAGTCAAGCGTATGGTTTTTGCGGCTTAAGTTTATACACGAGCAATGATCTAACGTACAATAGTATCAGGTTTAAAAAGCCTTTAGACATTTTTTGATCGCAAATTCAAAGAAAAGGTTCCGAAGAATATTTAGTTATGATTTTGGCTGTAAACAGAAAGCTCTGAGCGATTTTCTTGCCACGAGTTTACCTGGTAAAAGAGCAAACACTGGGAAGCCGTCATAAAACATAAATAAGCTTATGCTTACCTGACTCATGATTTTCAGAGACACTTTTCTTTCAATACTTGTCTTCGTGAATGAAAATTATTGTCTCTGTACATGTTTCACCATATTACATTTATTTTAATGATTGTTAGTAGTCCCTCTCGCAATTTTTATCACTGCACCAGTTGTTTCCAGTCGAACACAAACATCGCATGCGGGAATACTCAAAACGCCGCGCGTAAATTATTACTCGCTTTTAAAGATTACACATAACAAAACCATAAACAGTTTTATAAATAAAGTGAAATAAGACCTAAACATAACAAATTCTCTATCATGTTGAAGCGTAAATGGTAACTCTATTAATCGCACTGCAAATTTGGTGCCTATCAAAAGTGAGAACCCGTCAGGCTGGCCGAAAAGGTGATTTTGGGAATTTTTTATTGTTTTCACTAAAAGCCCATAATTATTACCCTGCATATCACATAGGACCAGATTTTTCTAACTAAAAAGTCCCGGCATTATGGAATTCTCTTCATGAAAACGTTTTATAATGTGGTCAATGCCATAATTTGTTGTGCAAAGGAAGCGCGTGCTTTGATCACAGGTAACCCAGGCTCACTGTTAGTATCACAAACATATGGGGCAAAGTTTAGGTCGGGAAATTTGCTAGAAAATGGAAATAAAAATCGCTGAAACTTACCATGTGGCGAGTTGTTGTTGTCCTTAATGTGTACACAAAGTTTCGGGAAAAATAGTCTGCTTCACCGTTCCTTCATAGTATTATATTTCGGAGGTGTCCAATTATCCATAGTCTCTTAAACGGAGCAATGTTAGAGAGACTGGTGAATGCCACATTATGATGCAACAGCTAATGCAAATACAATACACTTTCCAGGCCTAATCTACTGTGATCGAACATGATTGCTATTTTTGGGTGTACAAATAAGACTATTAACTCGATGTAAAATTTGTTTCACTCTTGGACTGTCAAATTATTTTTCTCTAAAATCACTCGGCCTTTGCCTCAAAAGTCACATGAATATGCCCTGATCTGTGGATTACAAGTTTATTGTTTGATTTAAATTATGAATTTATTAACTGGAGCTTCGCTTTTAGCCCTGGCTAAATCTATATATTATTTAGGCATATAGGCGTCAACATAGCTGCGAGACGTCTTGATTAGACTGACTGAAGATTGGAGGCATTGCCTGGACAACAAGGAGATTGTTGCTGTTCTATCCATGGACTTGTCAAAGGCATTTGACACCATTCCCTACCAGCTCTTAATTGCTAAGTCAAGAGCGTATGGCATAGACCACAGGAGCTGAGCACTTCTATTTGACAGGCAGGATGCAGCGTGTAAAAGTAAGCGACACCTTCTCCGATTGGAAGGGCGTGACTCAGGGCAGTGTTCTTGGACCTATGTTCTTCAATTTTTCATCAACGATCTATTTTATCACATAAAAACAATGAAACTGAATATATATGCAGATGATGGTCAACTTTATGCTTCTGATACCAACCCAAGACGTCTAGAGGAGCGCATGGTGCGCGAGGTCGAAATCGCTAACAGCTGGTTCCATCGTAATGGGATGATCGCTAACCCAAGCAAGCACCAGGGGATTATACTAGGAAAAACAGACAATCAGTTTTCGTTTTCGTCGACTGATTCTATGGAACTTTTTGGTGTAACTCTGGACAACGAACTCAAATTCCAAGAGCACATTTCAACACTTCGCAAAAAAATAAATAATCCTTTTAGCGTTCTCACCAGATTTGGTAAGCTCATTTCCCGCTAGGGTTTTGCTGCGGCTTTATAAGGCATTCATACTTCCCAATTTGTCTTACTGTTCTATGGTTTGGCATTTCTGTCAAGCACAAGATGCAGAAAAACTAGAAATCTTAAACAAACGTATCTTGAGGTTTATTTTTAGGGACTGGAGCTGTGACTATGATAGTTTTCTAGAGCGGGCCGGTACACCCAGCCTGGCAAATAAGAAAGTTAGCAATATGATGACATCTATTTTCAAATGCATTAACTTTACCAACTATCCAGAATAGCTTAAAGAGCCATTTCAGCTTTAGAACGTCTGACTATAGCTTAAGAGGTGCGAATGTGTTAGTCTTGCCAAAACCCAAAGCAACTACATGTGGCCTAAACGCATTTAGATATGCCGCAGCGAGATCTTGGAACTCGCTTCCTAATTCTTTTTGGAGAATTACTAATCTGGAGGAATTTAGAGGTTTACTTTTTTCCCATAGTTTCTTAAATTAGACGTTTACTTTTACTACCAGTTTGTGTTTTATGTCAATACTTTTTTTGTGTGATTTTGTATATGTAAGTAATCGGAGATACTAGCCTTTGGCTACTCTAAAATCCGAAGTTAAATAAAGTTATGTATATATGTAGACGTGATATTTTTATACTTTTTCATCCTTATTGGTACCTTCAATCCTGTGGTAGTCCAAGGCTTGAAAAACTGACATTTCTTTCGAAAATGTGTTTGTTAAACAATTTTGGTGAAATTATGATAAAAAGAAGAAAACAACACATCCAGATCATGGGAAAGAAAGAGACCTCTACCGGCCTCCGTTGCTTTTTGTATCACGCACGCACTAGCTTTTCCTTAACAACCAGTAACGTGTTAGTCACGTGCGACACAACTAACAGAACCGGTTTGCGCAACACAAATTTGGGCTCAGAAATTTCCAGCGTGCACTCTCAACTCTGAGACGCGCATTCCACATTAAACGAAACCGGTTTTGAAAACTAGTAGTAAGTTTCAACCACAAATGTGGTCAGTGGCTACATGAAAGAACGCGTCGGAGGCTGGCAGAGATCTCTCGCTTTCCTCTCCTTCTTCTCTTGTCGTGAGAGACATCTGCCAGCTGGGAAGTATTTTTTATCCAATAAACACTGGAAAGATCGACTCCAAAGCGAGCCGTACTTTCTTTGTTTTTTTTGGTCGTTGTTGCTCTTCTTTGGTTAAAGTCACTGAAACGCACTAAAATCAAACCCGGGAAAATTAAAAGTAGATATTGAAGCAAATTAACCAACCTGTCTTTTCAAGATTACTTAATATTGCCACAACATAAAGTCCTTTATTTGCTAAGTGCGGTCATTGCTTCATCTGCACAGATGTTCCAGAGGCAGTGAATACCACATGCAGCATAAAAAAAGGCAAAGTAATTTTAACATGGAAGCCACCGGCAAGTAACGGAGCAGTCATCAAACGGTATAAGGTATACCAAAAGGGGGAAAACAAGGGGCAGTGGACGGAGATCGAAACGATCAATAACGCTTCACATGAATACGTTGTCAGCGAAGTAGAGAAGGGCGGAGAGTATGATTTCGTTGTTACAGCGACCAACGATTATGGAGACAGTCCAAAAGTGGGGGGCTGCAAAGGAGTTAAATTGCCGGAGGGTAGGTACAACTTTACTTAGATGATTTGTTTATTAGATGGTAATGAAATTAATACTGCTAATCCCTAAAAAAACACTCTTGTTTCCGACTGGCTTTAATTCTCCTTTAGGTTTCTTAACCTGCTATTGCTAACCAGGTTTGGAAGATGTGGATACCTTTTCCACTGTTTAACGACTGTTTTCGGTCTTTAAATAACAAAGAACAGGGACAATTGACGTCACAAAGATAGCGGCGTAATGATGAAATATTGCACGGGCTATGCGATGAAGAAATGACCGAACTACTGACTCAAGAAGATAGCACGAAGATGCCACTAAAAGGATGTCGACTACTTTTTGAAGAATATCTTCGATGAGAAAAAATAACATCCGTTCGTATTTCGACACTGTCATGGAACTTTTTGCGTTGGGTTTAGCCTGTTTTCACAAGCGGCGCAAGCACAAGAGCCAGCAAAAGCGCCGGGATGTTAGTATCGGAAAAAAAAACTGTACCCAAGATCTTTAGTAGGGTATACTTAAGACCTCAGGCAGAACCTCATCCTATATAGACCGACCCAGGCTGGCAAGTAACGTACTTACTCTTCAAATTTGCAGGAAATTTTCTTTCAAGAAATGGCTGTATGTTTTATACGGCGCGCAAACCTAGGTTAAACTTGACAACATTTTAAATAAAACTCTGAACCCAATAAGGCTTTCTTTTAAAGTTTAGTGTGTCTTGCTAGACAAATTCTTATCTATTTTTGTGCGAAACGCCGATAAACAAATCTTCCTTTTTTGCAAACCCGAAAAAGCTACAGAAAATGCATTCATGGTAAAGACCGAACGTAAACAAAACTGTGCAGAGGCCTAATAAAAGAGCAAAAAACTCTTAAGGTTTGAATGAAAGGTTTAAGAAGTTAAATGAAAAACAGCGATGTCGGTAAGAATCAGATTTATACAAACTGAACAAAGAATTGAAAAGACCGCGATATTAACCTACTACTAGATCTGTTGATGGTATTGTTTTATTTAAGCTTATAAGTTAAACGAAATCATTAACAAAAAAAACTTTAAAAAATCTAGTATGGCAAAATTAAATGAAACACGACAAATCTAAATTGCAGCAACAATGGAAAACAGGAACCGACCAAAAATGTCGTTCTAACAAGACATAAAACAGTGGCGGATCCAGGTGAGGGGCCCGGGCCCCCAGTAGTATAGGAGGGACCGGTTACTCCGGTTTTTTTGGGGGGAATCTCATTAAGGTGGGGGGGGGGAATAAATTAACGTCGCTGACGTCATAGGCTATTGTCTTGATCTCATGAATAAAATGCGCAGGAATCTCATTAACTTGCGGTGGAATCTCATTAAGTATATCCAGTTTGACGGGTTTATCAATGATGTCATGTTCTATTTTTATCTTGTGGCGGTCATGGTTGGTATAACCGGTTTGACAGGTTAGTTATTTTCGGAAGATGATGTCATATGTATTCCGGGGTACTATGATGTCATAGTTGTTTTGATTGGTTGACCGGAATTAGAAAGACGCTCATTGGCTGTCTCGTTTGACGAGGCATTCTGGTTGGTTGCCATATTTTTTTTATTGTTTGAATGGCATAAAGCCTGCTCACTGCCAAGCGCATACTAATTTGGATTTCCTGCATACTAATTAAGTGTCTTCCTCCATATATAATGAAGTGGATAGGTTTACTAATGAGCGTCACTCTACTACAATAGGAACAATAGGCTTGCCTAGACTTGCCCGGGCTCTTTTAACCCTGATTGTAGAATCTATTCTATCTTTCAAATAAAAG